AGCATATTTTTCCAGCGAATATGTCATCTTTACTGCCAAGAAATGCACTGGCTTAGTCAGGTGATCTATAATCACCCATATTGCATCACAACCTGCTGAGTTTTAGGAAAACTAATGATAAAGTGCATAGATATGATGTCACATTTCCACTAAAGAATCTTAAGTGAGTGTAACACACCAATAGGCCTCTGGTGCTCAATCTTGATGCTTGGCATGTCAGACATCAAGCCACAAACTCTGCTGCCACATCATTCTTATTCCTAGCCACCACTACATTTAATTCATATCCTGATACGTCTGGTGGCACCTGGGTGAATCATGTACTCACCGATGTGCTTCCTCCAAGATCATCTTTCTGAAGTCCTCATCATTCAGTACAAAAATCTAGTCTTGATAAGTCACATAACCTTTATCATTGAATTCAAACTCTGTGATTCTCCTCTCTTTAACATCCTCACAAATTCCCAACAAGTATTTGTCCTCAACCTGAGTAGCCTACAATTCTTTCTAGAATTCATTAGTTACCACTGTAGAGTGCACATTACATAACGTCATCTGCAGTGCTTTCCTCTGAGTTTCTAAGAAAGTCTCAAGTAGTCAATGCTCTACATCATCATGTGAGCGCCATGTACCGTTTTTTGAATTAGTGCATCAACACTACATTGACGTTACCTGAATGGTACTTGATCTCAAAATTATAGTCTTTGAGAAACTCAATCCATCTGCATTGCCTCATCTTCAATTCTTTTTAGTCCACCAAACACTTCAAACTCTCGTATGATCACTAAATACCCTAAATACTAAACCATACAAGTAGTGTTGCCAAATCTTCAAGGCAAAGACCTCAGTGCCAGCTCTAAATCATGCATCGAGTACTTTTCTTCATGCAGTCTCAATTGTCTGAGGCATAAGCAACAACTTGTTCATCTTGCATTAGAACACACCCTAATCCCTTTAATGATGCATCTGTGTATACCACATATGGTAAAGGAGGGTTAGGAATGATCAACGCTAGAGCAGACGTTAGTTTCCTCTTCAACTCTTGAAACGCCGATTCACACGTGTCGGTCCATACATACGGTTAATCCTTTCGAGTTAACTTGGTCAACAGGGACACAATCTGCAAAAACCCTTAATGAGGGTAATGATAATATCTGGCCAATCCTAAAAAATTCTTACCTCTATTACTGAGGTAGGCGCTTCCCATTTCAAAATAACATCCACTTTATGCAGATTCATGGCAATCCTGTCTGCTGACACAACATGGGTAAGAAATCTCACTTATCTCAACCAATACTCATATTTGTTGAGCTTGACATACAACTTGTTGTCCTTTAAATGTTGCAAAATAGTATAAAGATGCTTTGCGTGTTCCTCTTCATCTCTTGATAGATTATAATGTCATTGATAAACACTACCACAAACTTGTCGAGAGAACTACTAAAACATGACTCTAAGACAGCATAATCATATGCAAAATAAATAAATCTTTGAAAAAAAACAAAACTAATAACCAGAACCCTAAAACCAGGGAGCAAGATTACCTGCAGATAGAAAAAATCGTTTCCTCTAAGGATCAAAAAACTTGCAAAGACTGGCTGTAGAAAGTATTGCAGGCGAAAGAAAAATACGAAAGACTCTACATGTCCAATAAGAAGTACAAACATTACACTACCACTCTCTTACGCTTCACAATCACACACACACACTAAGTAGAGAGAAATTGAAGAGAAAAGAATGGATAATGAAGGGCTTTGAAGTTTGAACTTTGTAAAGGAAAACAAAGCCATAAAAATGGCAACAGTGAACTTCTGGAATAGTCCACGTGACCTATGACTCAGTTTTATAAGAAGATTTAATTTGATGATTGAAAAAAAAGTAAAAAAAGCAACTCACGTAGGTGTCACTATTCATTTACTGTTCACAAAGGATCCAAATTGATATAGAATATAGATTCGTGAGGAGCTGTATGAGGTGAAAATCTCATGTATAATTCTGTAGTAAAGATGGATTGGAGAAAAAACCATCAACTATAACCTTAAAAAACCAAATTCTATAAACAACATAGATGAAGAATGAAATAAATATCCTTTAGAGGTAATCATATTTGTTTCAATAGATATGCTCTTCAAGCACTTGAACCTACTTGCATCACATCTAGACAAATAAAAGCAAAGCGATGAGCAATGTCATAAAATGCCCACCACGGTGGAAAAATATAGGTATGCATATTTTTAAACAAGCCAATTACAATAAGACTTACAAAAACATGTATGGGGTCAAGAAAAGCATCTCTCAAATATTGGATAGCTGTCATTAAACTAGGTAGAATATTTTATGAAATAGGCAGAGTCACAAAAACTATAGCTAGTTATTGCAATAGCAACATCAAAAATGCCTACACAAACTCAATTCATTATTTCAACATAACAATTAGAACCAAGGAAAGAGGTTGTTAGGGTTAAAAAAACAATTGCAATTGTAAGTTTTTTTTTTTTACACAATCTCTCTTTTTTTCCTTCACCCTTTGCACTGAAGGAACAGAGAAAAAAATGATGTAATTCAACCTCAAACCTATTTGAATGTGGCTAATAAAAACAAGGCCCGTAAATTGATGTATATTTGAATCATAGGAACTATAAATCGATGATATGCCTATATTGGTGACGTTATTGTTGCCATAATCAAGGGAGCTCACTAATTACACCTTTAGAAAGATTAGAAGTGATCAAAGCTGTAATTGTACATACTTATAAAGAACTCAAATGTAACAACACTATGATAATACAATATGATGATAATGCTATAGTTGTCATTGATCAAGAAAAAAATCCAAAGAATTTTTAGTGCAGTCACTTAAGAATTGAGATAGTTAAATTTCACTAGAATAATTTTATTAGCATCCGAAGAATTATGAGATGAAACTATGATACATATGATATATTTATAGAAGTTAAATGAAATAGATCAATTAATAGATTAATTATGTCTCACACACATACCTTTTCCGTTGTAATTATTATAAAAGAAATCTAAATCCAAATATTTCAATATTCAATTTCAAATAGAATTCATAAATAAAAATATAAATAATAATTAATTTATGATAAACTAAGATGATTGTTGCTTAGGACTTTTGACATAATCAACATGCTCTTTTATTAATTTAATTTAATTTATTATATTTTTAATATAGAAAAGACGGTTGTGTTTGAAGTGTTGTGAATCCACTTACAAGTTTCGTCTACTAATACACATCAAAAATTCTTTTCAACACTCACAAAAATCCCAATATGTTCCATGTACAACAGTGTGTGGAACCACTTCAACAAGTCTGCATGTCATGTAAGATTTCAAGCGTCAGATGTTCATATAATAGTATCCACAATTCTTTTGCTGGCTACATAGCAAGAAATAATATATTCTATTAAAGACAACCCCTTCACATAAATTGCTTCGAATGGGTAAATCAATCATTTGTCCTTATGGATCCAACTTTAATCCTCTCATACCTACTAATTGATGTATTTGAGATGCATGTCCTCTAGCTCTCCAAAAAAAAAAAAGAAAAACATTATGTAGACAGGATTAAAAGGGTCAACCATCTTAAAATTAAGATTCATTTCTTACTGTAAATAATCACTTGTAGCATACCATATCTCAATGGATTGGCGTAATTTTTCTACTACATGCACATTCCCATAATGATGATATTTTCCAAATCAAACTTTATTATTTAGCATCTTATGCTAGCCATCCCTTGGAAGGTATTATTAAAAGATCATTAATTTCTAGTGAAATGAATGTAGCAGTAGCTCACCAGAACCCTTTTGAAGATTTATTTCAATTCCATAATAATTCCGACCAATTCATAAAATTTATTTGATTGACATTGTTGAATAAATTTCATTAAACAAGTAGCACTGAAAAATATATTAAACATTAACGTTCCAATAAAAACCTTTTTAAATTAATGATATTAAAAACCAACCTGTGTTCAATCAAACCAATGAACCACTCCCTTCACTAGTCTAGCTAAGAGTGTTGGATATAACAACACACTCAAAAGAAAGAGTGAATTGAGTATTACACTTTGTTTTATTGTGAAGAAATTAGAATGCTATAGTGATTTACTCAATCTCAATGTAAGTAAAAAATGATTAAAATCAATATAAAAATGAAAATTTGAATAAAAGCTCATAAATATTTCAAATTAATCTTTAACAAAAAAAAACAGAACTTTAATTATAATATCTGGAAATATAAAGAGGAGATAATGCAATCTATGATTCACCCTAACTCAATTCTATCAACTTAAAATTGAATTCAATTCCCAAGCAATTACTTGAAATTTTTTTAGCATCTTTCACAAGATTGAACCAGGTATTTGTGAATCACTACAACTTCCTTTATTATCTCAATTAATTTTTTAATCTCTCTCTTAAGAAAACAACTTCTCTCCTTCTATGAAATGATTCACTCATGAACCCTAAGGGAAAAAAAAAAATTCATAAACTCGTAGATGAGATCAAAAACAATTTCAAGGTTAAAACTAGCATGCAAGGATTTACGAGAACAACCCTAAATCACTCAACACAACTCTAAATTTAATAAATTATATTTAATTAAAAAAATCTTAAAGTCTAATTTTCAATAAAATAATTTTGAAATCTAAATTCAATATACTCCACTTTGTATAAAATTAAATATTATTGAAATTCATTTTCTAAGATACATTTTACATTAAAATGATTTATTAATGAGAGATATGATTAAAAACATGATCAAAGATCAAAAATAAATATCTCCAAAATTTTTATCTCAATACTTATTCAAATGTTCATAACTTTGTCAACTTAACTCTATTTTAATATGCATAGAATAAATATAAAAGTTATAATAACATGCTTAGCATATATGTATTTTATAAAAAATAAAATGTTAAATGCTTTTTGAATATATAATCATTTTAAAATTATTATAATATAAAATAGCTTTAATACACAAATTATTCGTTCAAGTACCATATAATATGAAACAATATAAATCATTTGTTCAATAATATGAAACAATGTAGATAAAAAACATTTTCAAACCTTTACACCAATAGTTAACAATTATATCCTACAAAGAAATTTGGACTAATATATTTTCATATTTTAATTAAATATATTATTATAATTGCGATTGGGTTGATCCCAATTTAACCTATCCACTGATTCAATGACCAATCCAAAATACTAGTTATTCAAAGAGACCATTGACGTAATTTATGCCTTTCTCTTTTCCTTCTTTTCAAATCTGCACCCCTAATTAAATATAGTAATGGTTAAATCATTTACTAGCGCTGGAAAAGAAATCACTGATTTGGGTATAACACATCGAGAAGATTTTGTTATATTTTTTAGAATTGAAAAATTGGTACTTTACAAAAGACCAATGGTTGTCGAAAACTGGGTCACATAAAAGACGATGGGGTCATATAAAAGGGATAAGGGTATTAATTAGAGCAAATAACAATAAAAGTCTAACAAAATATATAAATGATGATCAAATCTCTTAAAAAAATTCTATAATTTTTTTAAGTCCCTAAGTATCTTAATTAGACAAATTTGCCTCTTATTTAAAAATTAAAAAATAATAAGTTCTTGCCAAAAAATATACTTACAATTCACTAAATAAAAATTGTAACTGTATAAACAAAAATCATAATTAGTTATTTTCAAAACTTAAAACTTCAATGATAAAAAAATTCCCATAAAAAAATAATTTTTTATTTAATTCTCATAATTTACAGAAGTAATCATTTTAAACAAAGAATAATTTAATCATTTAATTGAAAATCATTAATATCATAAAAATACCCAAGAATTTTAAAAAAATTATGGCATTTCAAAAATCCTGATTATCAGGGATTTTATGATTGTCCCTATTAATTATGGCTGGTTCGCATTGGAAAATAATGAGTAATTGAGTATTAATCGAGGACTGAAATGTAAAAAGAATAGTGTCCAAAGGCTGCCAATGGAAGAAAATCGAAAAGCTTATAGAAAGGTACAAGGGCAAACAAATAAAAGAACACGGAATGAAAATCCAATGCTCTCTTCACCTAAGTCAGAAAACTACAATTAAAGGACATCTAGAATGTATAGAAGAAAGCATAAGCAGTAGAGGATGAAATTGTATTTAACTTTATAAACCTGCTAAGCAACTAGCATATCATGAATAAACAACTGACCCCTCCTAACTTTATTCTATATTATCATTATAGAATTACTCTCACTATTTTTCGATGAGACAAGCCTAGCAAGATCCAAAGGAAGATCAGATGGTAGCTGGAATGATGTCACAGAAGAAACATATTGAGCTGGTACACTCGAGTACCCTTAAGAGTGAGAAATTGGCTACCAAGCAACAAGCAACGGTCTTAGACGAGCAGTTGGCGATGGGATCGGTTTGTTGCAATCAAATTCAATGGTTTCTTACCTAGTGCTTGTTCAATAAAACGTACTCTTGCTAAGAGAATGAATACACAGGAACATATGTGCGCGCACGCCATCAATCCTAAACCAGTGTATCATGCTATGGCGCAACAATCAGGTTCAAATTTACCCTGCGAACCCAATGCTCTTTTCATACAAAGCCAACACAGCGAAAGTCTACGCTGATGTTTATTACTACTCAAAAGGCGATATTCAAGTAACGATTTCACAGGTTGACACATTACCTTATGTAGCAGTCAGTTCAATAGGACTTAAACACTATACGAAACAAGCCTCTAATTAAACACCAACCAAGGGAAAGCAACGCCATGCTCTTCCTACATCGAAACACCCCAATTAAAGACCGTAGAATAATTTTCAAGAATGCGTGAAAGAAAGAATTAGACATAACCAATTTTTTTTTTTTTTGGGTAAAATCTAGGCAACTTAAATATAGACGATGCTCTTGAGGAGTAGCATCAATTCCTTTACACCAAAAGAACCCAGTGAAAGAAAAGAGATGCTGATGTCAAAAAGTCACACAGTTAAGCTATACATTCTGGATTAGACACTATGAAGCACAGTCATGTCCAAAAATGTTTAGCATCCATTCCTTTACACCAAAAGAACCCAGTGAGAAAAGAGATGCTGATGTCAAAAAGTCACCAGTTAAGCTACACATTCTGGATTGGACACTATGAAGCAGAGTCATGTCCAAAAATGTTTAGAATAAAAAGCAAAACCAGAGGAATCAATTTCTTTCACCCCAAACGAACAAAGGGGAAGAAAAGCCACGCTCTTTTCATCTAAGTAAAACAAACACTATATAAAGGCCATACAATCAGGACGAAACACATTATGGAACACATGATAGTGTTAAAAGGCTTATTGAGAAAAATCAAGAGGCCCATAGAAGAAAAGGCACAAGAAGGACAAACTGTTTGTGGAACTCAAACCCACATATTAAACACCAATATACCAAACGTCAACCCAAAAAAATTAAATAGCTAAAAAAAAAAAAGCTAAGCATCTATATGGAGCTGGTGGAGAATGACTAACCCTTCAGTGCACTCATTTCCTTTCACCCAAAAGAACGCAGGGAATGAAAAGCCATGCTCTTCTCACTATGTCAGAAAACTACAATTAAAGGGCATACATTCTAGATGAGACACTATGGACCGTAAAAAAAGAAAAACAAAAGATGCTCTTGAGGAGTAAGTAACCCATTTATGTGGCATCAATTCCTTTACCCTGAAAGAACCCAGTGAAAGAAAAGAGATGCTCGTGTCACCTCTATCAAAAATCTCAAGATGAGACACCAAAGCAGTCATTTCTGAAAAAGTTCAGAATAAAAAGCATACTAGGTAGATTTAGCCAAAATTTTTCTGCAACTAAAGACAAATTTATCAAGACACATTGAAAACAAGCTGCAACAATAAAAAAGCCTCTAATTAAACACCGACATTTGAAAAAAAAAAAAAATAACAATCGAAATTCAAAGTGGGGGAAAATAATTCTTGCAATAGGAATAGAACCATTGGGAAATGAGTAACCCTCCTAAGTGGAATCACTTGCTTTCACCAAAACGAAAAGGGGGGGGGGGGGGGAAGGCCACGCTCTTTTCACCTACGTCAAAAAAAAAAACTCCAGTTAAAAGCCATACATTCTCAATCAAACACTTCAAAAGAAAACCAAATTTTTCACGAAACACTATCAAGACCAAGGCACTGAAAACCAAACCGGTATGTTTTCGATTGTTAGTAGTTCAAGGGTTAGTGGCTTAAATGTCGGTTAGGGAGAAAGAAGACTGGAAGCGTGTGCAGAAAGCCAAAGACGACTTTGACGGTGCCACAAAGGGAGAAATAAAAATGAGAAGGAAGCAAAGAGTAGATCGCGAACGGCAAACAGCAAAGAAGCAGCTCAAATGAAAAATCGAACCGGAAAGAGGCCAGTTCGCCGGTAAGTTGAACCAATCCAGTCTGATTTTTCATTCATTGATCAAAACACATTGTTAAGCAGCTGCAACAAAATAAGCAACAAATTAAAAACCTAGATACCAGTAGTTAAATCAATAGAACGGAAAATGAAACAGAAACTCAATCTATTTTGGAATGAAAGACAGTTCTTGGTGGAATCACTTCCACAGAACCAAAAGAACCCAGCAAATGAAAAGTGGTGCTCTTTTAAACAAAGTAAGGGAAGAAACTCAAATTAAAGGCTATACATTTTGATTGAGACACTATGATTTGTACAATCATATATGCAAAAGGACAAAGAAGAAAAAGCATAAGCATGTACTGCCCCTATTTTTTATTGTTAAAGAAACTATTATTTTTTATTTATTTTTTATATAAACAAAATCATTTATTTTAATAAATATTTATTACACATTTTTTAAATCATTGTTCAAGAAATAATACATACTTATGTTGATTAACATAGAATATTTTAGTTTAATTTTTTTATTTACAAACATAATTATTATAGTAACTGTGATATAATTTTTTTCAGGAAAATAGCACTGTAAACACAAGGATCAAATGATCTCATAATTGCCTTGTAGTCCTCTGCTCTTTCTTTCATATTAATTTCATAAAGCAAAATGATGAAATTGCCCCTCAAGTTAAAAAACTAAAAAAAGAAAAAAGAAATCCCCACTGTCACCGACCGTCAGACCACCGCCAGTGGCGAGGTCACCAGAGTCCCTGCTACCAGCAAGGTCACCGACAACTAGTCATTGAAGCTCCGGCGCTAGTAATTTTTTATTTGAAAAATAAACTTTTTAGGTGGCCAAAGAAAGGTATGATCCCATGACCCTTGGCCACCTAACCCAGCCCTTTAATAACATATAGCAAAAAAAATTTAAGTAGTAAACCAAGCACAAACCCGACAATGGGGAGTCCAGCAACCTCACCACCGCCAGCGGTCCAACAGACGGTACCGATGACAATGGGGGTTTCTTTCTTTTTTCTTTTAATTTTTTTACTTGAGAGGCAATTCCGTCATTTCACTTATGAAATTAATATGAAAGAAGAACCAAAGGATTGGAGAGCAATTGTGAAATCATTTGGCCCATATATATTTTACACAACAGTTTTTTTTTTTTCTTATATAGAGAAAAAAGGGAGTAAATGTAACCAAAAACTCAAATTAAAGGCTGAACATTTCGGTTGAGACATTATGATATGTATAATCATATATCAAAAAGGATACAGAGGAAAAAGCATAAGCAGGTAGATGTAACCAATTTTTTTATGAAAGACTAGGCAACTTATTGGGACACATTAACCAGCTGCAAAAGAATAATAAGCCAATCAAATACAGAAATCAAAAGTTACACCAAAATCGTTAAAATAAAAAGCTTAAAATCCAAAAGGAACTGCTAGGGAATGAATAACCCTTGGCAGTAGGGTTACTTCCTTATGCACCGAAACAAATCCAGGGAAAGAACCATGTTCTTCTCACCTAAGCCCAAAATCAACAATTGAAAGCCATATATTCAGGGTGAGACACTCTGAAACACAGCCATTTTCCAAAAGTGCAGCGAAGAAAAGGGAATAAGCAAAAAGATGTAACCCAATTTTTTAGAATGTAATAACTTGTCAACACACATTGGAACACAGCTGCAACAAATAAGTCAGCAATTAAAGACCAGCATTAAAGAAGTCAAACCATAACAATTAAAATTGAAATCAGGGTATTACCAAAAAAAAAAAACAATGAAATCAGGGAACAAAAATCAGATCTCCAAAAAAAAAAAATGAATCACTTTCTTTCACCCACACTGACCCAGGGAAAGAAAAGCCACACTCTTTTCACCTACGTCAAAAAACTTAGAGATAAGCCACATATTAAACAAGAAGATACCAAACAACAAACCCAAAAAAAAAAAAAAAAAAAATTCAATAGTGACAAAAAAAAAAAAAAAAAGAGCTCGGCATCTAAATGGAGCTGGTGGAGAATGACTAATCCTTCAGTGCACTCACTCCCTTTCACCCAAAAGAATGCAGGGAATGAAAAGCCATGCTCTTCTCACCTAAGTAAGAAAAATACAATGGAAGGGCATACATTCTAGATGAGACACTATGGACCCTAGAATGCTTTTCAAGAATGTGTAGAAGAAAACATAAACAGAAAGATGTAACCAATAGTTTTGGGAAAATCTAGGCAACCTATCAATACACGTTAACCAATATGGAAAAAACAAGATGCTCTTGAGGAGTAAGTAACCCTTCGAAGTCGCATCAGTTCCTTTACACCGAAAAAACCCAGCTAAATAAAAGAGATGCTCCTGTCACCTATGTAAAAAAAATCTCCACTTAAGCCATACATTATGGGTGAGAAACTAAGAAGCAGACATTTCCAAAAATGTTCGGAATAAAAAGCATAATCAGAAGGAGTAATCCTTTCGCCCAAAGGAACCAAAATTTTTCTGCAACTCAAGGCAACTAACTGAGACACATTGAAAGAATGAGTAATCCCTTCGCCCAAAGGAACAAAGGGAAAAAAAGCCATGCTCTTCTCACCTACGAAAAAAAACTCCAGTGAACGGCCATACATTCTCAATGAAACACTATGAAAGAAACAATAATTTCAAAAAATATATAGCAGAAAAGGAAAAAGTAGTAAGATTGAACAAAACTTTTTCATGAAACTTTCGAGCAGCTTATCAAGACACATTGTTAAGAAGCTGCAACAAAATAAGCAACAAATTAAAAACCTACATACCAACAGACAAGCCAATGCAATTAAAAATACAAAAAAAAAAAAAAAACTACTTCGGAATGAATGACATTTCTCTTAATTAGCATAGGGAAAGTTTTATTTATTTATAAGTTTAGATATTTTTATTTCTTTCTTTGTAGAAAAATTTTGGGAAATAATTTTGTTGAAAATATTTTGAGAAGATATACAAGGAAAAAAACTAAACTTAAAGGACATGCATTTTGGTTGAGACATTACGATATATATAATCATACATCCAAAAGAGTGCAGAAGAAAAAGCATCAGCAGGAAGATGTAACCAATTTATTTTTTGACAAAGACTAGGCAGCTTATCGGGGCAAGTTGTTAGCCAGCTGCAGAAGAATAAGCGAAGACACCAATTAAACGCAAAGAAATAAAAAATAGCACCAAAATAATTGAAATAAAAAAAAAATGCTTAAAATAAAAAAGATGTTGAGGAATGAATAACCCTCGGCAGTGAAGTTACTTTCTTATGCACCTAGACGAGTACAGGGAAAGAAAAACCATGCTCTTCTCAGCTAAGACCAAAATAACAATTGAAGGCCATACATTCAGGACGAGACACTACAAAACAAGATCACTTCCATAAGTGTAGAGAAGAAAAGGCATAAGCAAGAAGATGTTACCCAATTTTTCAGAATGTAATAATAACTTCTCGAGACACATTGGAAAGCAGCTGCAACAAAATAAGCATACAATTAAACACCGACATTCGTAAAGGCCATATATTCTCGAAGAAACACGATGAAAGAATGAATAATTTCAAAAAATAAATGGCTGAAAAGGCACAAGCGGTAAAGACTGAACCAAATTTTTTCGTGAAACTTTCAAGCAACTTATCAAGACACATTGTTAAGCAGCTGCAACAAAATAAGCAACAAATTAAAAACCTACATACCAATAGCCAAGTCAATGCAATTAAAAAAAAAAAATCAACCAACCTAATTATCATAGGGAAAATTATATTATTTATCACTTGGGCTTGACCTAGGATGAAACCCTAGGGCCTATGTACCCTTTTGAGGGATCAAAGCCCACGTAATTCAGAATAAAAATGCACATCTTAAAAAAATTTATTGTATTTCAAATAATTTTAAAAAATGAATAAATATTAAAAAAAATGAATAAATATTTATTGTATTTCAAATAATTTTAATGTGAGGTTTGTATTTTTCAATTATGAAGATAATTTTATTTCTTTATTTGTGCCAAAAATTTGGGAAATAATTTTGTTGAAAATATTTTGATAAGATATTTAAGTAAGGCAAAAAACAAAACTAATATATAATCATATAAAACAAAATTGGTTGGCAACATTTTTGATTGAGACATTAACATATATATAATCATATATCCAAAAGGGTACAGAAGAAAAACATTAAGCAGGTAGATGTTGCCAATTTCTTTTCTGAAACACTAGGCAACTTATTGGGACATGTTAACAAGCTGCAGAAGAATATAAGCCAAGCCATCAATTAAATGCAGCTTATTGGGACATGTTATCAACCAGCTGCAGAAGAATAAGCCAAACCACCAATTAAAAGCAAGGAAATCAAAAGTCACAATAAAATAATTGGAAAAAAAAAAAGCTTAAAATCAAAAAGGAGTTGTTGAGGAATGAAAAACCCATGCCAACGAAGTTACTCTCTAATGCAACAAAACGAATCGAGAAAGAAAAGCCATGTTCTCGTCACCTAAGCCCAAAATCAACAATTGAAAGCCATACATTCAGGATGAGACACTATGAAACACAATCATTTCCATAAGTGTAGAGAACAAAAGGCATAAGCAAGAAGATGTAACCCAATTTTTCAGAATTGAATAATAACTTGTCGAGACATATTGGAAAACAGCTGAAACAAAATAATCCTACAATATAAAACTGACATTTCAAAAAATCAAACAATAACAAGACAAACTGAAATCAAGGAACAAAAATCAGATCACAAAATCTACAATGAACCACCAGGAATGAATCATTTTCTTTCATCCGCACCATTCCTGGGAAAGAAAAATCTCGCTCTTTTCACCTAATTTAAAAAACAACAGTTAAAACTCCATTCTCGATGAAACACTATGAAAGAAAGAATAATCTCAAAAATATATAGCAGAAAAGACACAACTAGTAAAGATTGAACCAAATTTATTCCTGAAACTATCGAGCAACTAATCAAGACACATTTTTAAGCAACTGCAACAAAATAAGCAAGAAATTAAAAACATAGATACCAATAGCCAAACCAATGCAATTGCAAAAAAATAAAAAATAAAAAGCTCAATCTATTTTGGAACAAATGACACTTCTTGGAGGAATCACTTGCACTGAACCAAAAGGACCCAGCAAATGAAAAGTGGTGCTCTTTTAACCTAAGGGAAAAAAACCTAAAATAAAAGGATATCCATTTTGGTTGAGTCATTATAATTTATATAATCATATATCCATAAGGGTACAGAAGAAAAAGCATAAGCAGGTAGACGTAACCAATTTTTTGTGAAAGACTTGACAACTTATCAGGACAAGTTGTCCACCTGCTGCAGAAGAATAAGCCAAGCCACTAATTAAACGCAAAGAACTCGAAAGTCGCACAAAAATTCAAAAGTCGCACAAAAATAATTGAGATGCCAAAAAAAAAACAATCTATTTTGGAATAAATGACAATTCTTGTAATTATCAGAGGCAAAATTTTATTTATTTGTAAGTTAGACTAAACCAAAGATGAAACCCTAGGGCCTACACACTCTTGAGGTATCAACGGCCACATAGTTCATTTCATTATTTGTAGCAATATTTTCAGAAAAATTATGTTCAAAATATTTTAATTAGATATAAAAGAGGGAGAACCAAAATTAAAGGATATACATTTTGTTTGAGACGTAATGATATATATATATATATATAACTATATAATCAAAAATCAAAAAGGGCACAGAAATAAAAGTATAAGAAGGTAGATGTAACCAATATGTTTTTGAAACACTAGGCAACATATTGAGACACATTAAAAATCTGCAGAAGAATAAGCCAGGCCACCAAATAAAAGCAACAAAATCAATAGTCGCACCAAAATAATTAAAATAAAATAAAGCTTCAAAAGAAAAAGGAGCTCTAGAGGAATGAATAACCCTTGGCAATGAAGTTACTTTCTTATGCACCTGAACGAATCCGGGAAAAGAAAAGCCATGTCCTGCTCACCCAAGCAAAAAATCAACAATTGCAGGCCATACATTCAGGATGAGACACAATCATCTCGCAAAGTGCAGGGAAGAAAAGGCATAAGCAAGAAGATGTAACCCAATTTGATGAGACTATGAAACAATCACTTCCAAAAGTGCACAGAAGTTAAGGCATACGCAAGATGTAAACCAAGTTTTCAGAATGTCATAATAACTTGTGCAGGCACATCGGAAAGCAGCTGCGACAAAATAGGCATACAATTAAACACTGACATTTCACAAAAATCAATACCAATACAAATTGAAACCACGGACCAAAAATCAGATCCCAAAATTGAAAATGAGCCGCTTGGAATGAATATCCCAGGGGAAGAAAATCCAAGACTTTTTCACCCAAGTCAAAAAATTCCAGTCAAAGGCCCATCCATTCTCGATGAAAAGCCACGAAAGAAAGAATAATAACAAAAAATATAAAGCAGAAAAGGCACAAGTAGTAAAGATTGAACCAAATTGTCTCATGGCACATTCCAGCACCGTATAAGGATACATTTATTTAGAAGCTGCAACAAAATAGGCAGGGAATTAAAAACAGAGACCAAAAGCCAAGCCAATGCAAAAAAAAAAAAAACAACAACAACAAGAAACACCCAATCTATTTTGGAATGAATAAGTCGCTTGCTGGAGGAATCACTTGCACTGAACCAAAAAGACACAGCGAATGAGAAGTGGTGCTCTTTGGACCTAAGTCAGGAACAAAATAACCAAATGGACCTAAGTCAGGAAAAAAATAACCAAAAATCAAACGATATACATTCTGGTTGAGTCAGTATCATTTATATAATCATATATCCAAAGGGATACAGAACAAAAAGCATAAACAGGTACATGTAACCAATTTTTTTCTGAAAGACTCGGCAACTTATCAGGACAACCTGTCAACCTGCTGCGAAAGAGTAAGCCAACCCACCGATTAAACAAAAATAAAAATCAATAGCCGCACCAGAATAATTAAAACAAAATAAAGCTTCAAATGAAAAAGGAGCTCTAGAAGAATGAATAACCCTTGGCAATGAAGTTACTTTCTTGTGCACCTAAACGAATATAGGAAAAGATGCAACCCAAGTTTTCAAAATACGATAATAACTTGCAGGGAAACATTGGGAAGCAGCTGCGACAAAAAAAGCATACAATTAAACACCGATATTTCACAAAAGTCAAAAAAGAATAATACAAACTGAAATCAGGGAACAAATATCAGATCACAAAATCAAAAATGAACTGCTTTGAATGAATCATTTTCTTTCACCCACGCCATTCCTGGGGAAGAAAAGGCACACCCTTTTAACCTAAGTCAAAAAGCTCAAGTTAAAGGCCCATCCATTCTCAATGAAACATTACGAAAGAAAGAATAATCTCAAAAAACATACAGCAGAAATGGCAGATGTAGTGAAGATTGAACCATTTTTTTTTTTCTTTTTGTGAAACTTTCGAGCAACTTATCAGGACACATTTTTTAGAAGCTGCAACAAAGTAAGCAGAAAATTAAAAACATAGATACCAATAGCCAAGCCAATGCAATTTAAAATGCACAAAAATTAAAATTAAAATTAAAAAAAAAGAAAAGAAATACACTCAATGCATTTTGGAATGCATTTTGGAATGAATAAGTCACTGCTTGGAGGAATCACTTGGAATTAAAAGTGGTGCTCTTTAGACCTAAGTCAGGAAAAAATAACCTAAAATTAAAGGATATACATTTTGATTGAGTCTGTATGGTTTATATAATCATATATCCAAAAGGATACAGAAGAAAATGCATGAGCAGGTAGATGTAACCAATTTTGTTTTTTAAATGGCAACTTATCAGGACAAGCTGTCAACCCACTACAGAAGAATAAGCCAAGCCACCAATTAAATGCAAATAAAAATCAATTGTCGTACCAAAATAATTGAAATAAGAAAAAGCTTAAAATCAAAAAGGAGTTGTTGAGGAAAGAATAACCCTCGGCAGTGAAGTTACTTTCTAATGCACCTAGTCGAATCCAGGGAAATAAAAACCATGTTCTTCCCACCTAAGCCAAAAATCAACAATTGAAGGCCATGCATTCACGATGAGACACTATCAAACACAATCATTTCCAAAAGAGTAGAGAAGAAAAAGCATAAGCCAGAAGATGTAACCCAATTTGATGAGACTATGAAACAACCATTTCCAAAACTGCAGAGAAGTAAAGGCATAAGCAAGAAGATGCAACCCAAGTTTTCAGAACGTGATGATAACTTGTGGACACCCATTGGAAAGCAGCTGCAACAAAATAAGCATACAATTAAACACTAACATTTCACAAAAGTCAAACAACACCAATACAAACTTAAAGTCGAGGAACAAAGTCAGATCTCAAAATAGAAAATGGATTGCTTCGAATGAATCATTTTCTTTCACCCACACCATTACAGGGGAAGAAAAGCCACACCCTTTTCACCTAAGTCAAAAAACTCAAGTAAAAAGCCCATCCATTCTCAATGAAACACTATGAAAGAAAGAATATTCTCAAAAAATATATAGCAGAAAAGGCACAAGTAGTAAACATTGAAACAAATTTTTTTTGCGAGATTTTCGAGCAACCTATCAAGACACATTGTTTAGAAGCTGCAACAAAATAAGCAAGAAATTAAAAACATAGATACCAATAGGCAAGCCAATGCAATTAAAAATGCAAAAAAAATAATAAGAAATAAAAAAAAAACACCCAATCTATTTTGGAAAAATAAGTCGCTTGTTGGAGGAATCACTTGCACTGAACCAAAAGGACAAAGCGATTGAAAAGTGGTGCTCTTTGAACCTAAGTCAGGAAAAAAATAACCAAAAATTAAAGGATATACATTTTGGTTGAGTCAGTATGATTTATATAATCATATATCCAAAGGGGTACAGAAGAAAAAGCATAAGCAAGTAGATGTAACCATTTTTTTTTTTTTGGGAAAGACTTGGCAACTTATCGGGGCAAGTTGTCAACCTGCTGCAGAAGACTAAGCCAACCCACCAATTAAACGTGAATAAAAATCAACAGTCGCACCAAAACAATTGAAATAAAAAAAAAAAAGCTTAGAATCAAAAAGGAGTAGTTGAGGAATGAATAATCCTTGGTAGTGAAGTTACTTTCTTATGCACCTAGAAGAATCAAGGGAAACAAAAAGCCATGTTCTTTCAACCCTATACCAAAAATCAAAAATTGAAGGCCATACATCCATGATGAGACCACTAAGAAACACAATCATTTCCAAAAGTGTAGAGAAGAAAAGGCATAAGCAAGAATCTGTAACCCAATTTGATGAGACTATGAAACAATCATTTCCAAAACTGCAGAGAAGCAAAGGCATAAGCAAGAAGATGCAACCCAAATTTTTACACTGTGATAATAACTTGCGGAGACACATTGGCAAACAGCTGCAACAAAATAAGCATACAATTAAACACCGACATTTCACAAAAGTCAAACAACAACAATACAAACTAAATCAGGGAACAAAAATAAAATCTCAGAATCGAAAACGAACTGCTTCAAATGAATCATTTTCTTTCACCCATACCATTCCAGGGGAAGAAAAGCCCCATACCCTTTTCACCTAAGTCAAAAAACTCAAGTTAAAGGCCCATCCATTCTCGATGAAACACTATGATAGAAAGAATAATCTCAAAAAATATAAAGCAGAAAAGGCACAAGTAGTAAAGATTACACCAATTTTATTTTTGTTTTTTTTTTTTTGAGACACTTTCAAGCAACTTATCAAGACAAATTTTTCGGAGCTGTAACAAAATAAGCAAGAAATCAAAAACATAGATATCAATAGCCAAGCCAATGCAAAAAATAAAAATAAAAATAACAATTGAAAAAAACAAACAAAACAAAACACTCAATCCCTTTTGGAATGAAATAGTTGCATGTTGGAGGAATCACTTGCACTGAACTAAAAGGACACAGCAAATGAAAAGCAGTGCTCCTTAGACCTAAGTCAGGAAAAAATAACCTAAAGTTGAAGAATATACATTTTGGATGAGTGAGAATGATTTATATAATTATATATCCAAAGGAGCACAGAAGAAAAAGCATAAGCAGGTAGACGTACCCTTTTTTTTTTTTTTTTTGAAAGATTGGCAACTCATCGGGACAAGTTGTCAACCTGCTGCAGAATAAGCCAAGCCACCAATTAAATGCAAATAAAAATCAATTGTCGCACCAAAATAATTGAAATAAGAAAAAACTTAAAATCAAAAAGGAGTTGTTTGAGGAATGAATAACCCTCAGTTGTGAAGTTACTTTCTAATGCACCTAGACAAATCCACGGAAATAAAAACCATGTTCTTCTCACCTAAGCCAAAAATCAACAATTGAAGGCCATACATTCACGATGAGACACTATGAAACACAATCATTTCCAAAAGTGTAGAGAAGAAAAGGTATAAGCAAAAAGATGTAACCCTATATGATGAGACTATGAAACAATCATTTTCAAAAATGCAGATTGAACCAAAATTTTTTTGCGAAACTTTCAAGCAATTTATCAAGACACATTTTTAAGCAGCTGCAACAAAATAAGCAAGAAATTAAAAACATAGATACCAATAGCCAAGACAATACAATTAAAAATGCAAACTAAGAAAACACTCAGTCAGCAAATGAAAAGTGATGCTCTTTTCACCAAAGTCAGGAAAAAATAACCTAAATTTGAAGATATACATTTTGGTTGAGTCATGATCACTTATATAATCATATTTCCAAAAGGGTACAGAAAAAAAAAGCATAAGTAGATAGAAGTAACCAATTTTTGGGTGAAAGACTTGGCAACTTATCAGGACAAGTTGTCAACCTGCTGCAGAAGTATAAACCAAGCCACCAATTAAATGCAAAGAAAAATCCATAGTCGGAGGAAAATAATTGAAATTAAAAAAGAAAGCTTAAAATCAAAAAAGAGTTGTTGGGGAATGAATAACCCCTGGAAGTGAAGTTACTTTCACCAAATCCAGGGAAAGAAGAGCCATGTTCTGCTCACCTAAGCCCAAAATAAAACAATTGCAGGCCATATATTCACAATGAGACACTAAGCCAATACTTCAGAACGTAATAATAACTTGTCGAAACACATTTGAAAGCAGCTGCAACAAAATAAGTCTACAATTAAACACTAACATTTAAAGCAGTCAAACCTCGCTATCAGATCTCAAAATCAAAAATGAACACGTGGGGAATGAATCGCTTTCTTTCACCCACACCAACCAAGGAAAAGAAAAGAATCGCTTTCTTTCACCCACACCAACCAAGGAAAAGAAAACCCACGCTAGATCAAAAGCCTACAATTACAGGCCATACATTCTCAATGGAACACTATGAAAGAAAGAATAATATCAAAAATAAACTGCAAATAGGCAGAAGTAGTAAAATTGAACCACATTTTTTCGTGAAACTTTCAAGCAACATGTCAAGACATATTGTTAAGCAGCTATAACTCGAATAAAGGACTATAAATTTTGGTTGAGTCATTATGATATAGATATAATCATACATCCAAAATGGTAGAGAAGAAAACGCAAAAGCAGGTGGATGAAACCAATTATTTTGTGCAAGATTAGGCAACTTAACAAGACGTTAAACAGCTGCAAAAGAAGAGATAACACAAAGACATCAAAAGTCACACCCAAATAATTGAAATAAAAAGCGTAAAATCAAAAAGGATTTTTGAGGGAATGAATTACCCTTCACAGAGGAGTTACTTTCATATGCACCTAAACGAATCCAGGGAAAGAAAAGCCATGTTCTTATCACCTAAAGCCCAAAATCAACAATTGAAGGCCATAAACGCAGGACGAGACACTATGAAACTGTCATTTCCAAACATATAGAGAAAGAAAGGGATAAGCAAGAAGATGTAACCAATTTTTTTTCAGAATATTATAATCACAAAAATCAAATCTCAAAGTTGAAAATGAACCCTTGGGGAATGAATCACTTTCTTTCACCCAAAGAACCCAGTCACCTAAGTCAAAGAACTCTAAATAAAGGGCACAAATTCGGGACAAAACACATTATGTAAGACAGGATACTGTTAAAAGGCTTATAGAAAAAAATCAAGACGCCCATAAAAGAAAATGCACAAGAAAGACAAACTATTTGTGTAACTCTAGGTAACTCATTGAGACACCTAACAAGCTGCAACAAAATAAGCCACATATTAAACACCAAGATACCCAATGTCAAGCCAAAAAAATTAAATAGCAAAAAAAAAAAAAAAGAAGCCCAGCATCTAAATGGAGCTGTTGGAGAATGACTAACCCTCCAGTGCACTCACTTCCTTTAGCCCAAAAGAATGCAGGGAATGAAAAGCCATGCTCTTAGTCAGAAGACTAAAATTAAAGGGCATGTATTCTAGATAAGACACTATGGAACGTAGAATAATTTTCCAGAATGTGTAGACCAAAGCATAAGCAGGAACATGTAACCAATTTTTTTGGGAAAATCAAGGCAACCTATCAATACATGTTAACCAATGGAAGAAAAAGATGCTCTTAAGGAGCAAGTACCCTTCAAAGTGGCATCAATTCCTTTATACCCAAGGAACACAGCTAAAGAAAAGAGATGCTCATGTCACCAATGTCAAAAAATCTCCACTTAAGCAATACATTACAGATCAGACACTATGTAGCACAGTCGTTTCAAAAAATTTTCAGAATAAAAAGCATCACCAATAGACGTAACCAAATTTTTTATGCAACTCAAAGCAACTTATTGAGACACGTAGAAAACAAGATTCAACAAAATAAGCCGAGGGAAAAATCAAATCTTGAAATAGAAATAGAACCATTGGGGAATGAGCACACCTCCTAAGTGAAATCATTTTCTTTCACCCAAACGAACACAAGGAAAGAATAGGGAAAGAAAAGCCACGTTCTTTTCACCTATGTCGAAGGAACTCCACTTAAAGCTTATACATTCTTGATGAAACACCATGATAGAAAGAATAGTTTCAAAACATGTATAGCAAAAAAAAAAAGGCATGAGCAGTAGGAGGGAACCAAGTTTTTTGTGAAACTCCAGGGAAACTTATCAATACCCATTGTTAACCAGCTGCAACAAGATAAGCCACAAATTAAAAATCAAGATACCAATAGTCAAAACAACAACATTGAAAATGAAATAAAGAAAAACTATTCTGGAATGAATGACACTTCTCGGTGGAATCACTTCCATTGAACCAAAAGAACCCAGCAAATGAAAAGCGGTGCTCTCTTCACCTATGTCAGGCAAAAAAAAAAAACCCACAAATTAAAGGCTATACACTTTTGTTGAGACATTATGATATATATAATCATATATCCAAAAGGATACAGAAGAAAAGGCATAAGCAGGTAGATGTAACCAATTTGCTCGTGAAAGACTAGGCAACTTATCGGGACATATTGTTAACCAGCTGCAGAAGAATAAGCCAGGCCACCAATTAAATGCAAAGAAATCAAAAGTTGCACCAAAATAATTGAAATAAAAAAAATCTTAAAATCTAAAAGGAGTTGTTGGGGAATGAACAACTCTTCGTAGTGGAGTTACTTTCTTATGCACCTAAATGAATCCAGGGGAAAAAAGTCAAATTCTTCTCACCTAAGCCCGAAATCAACAATTGAAGGCCATACACTCAGGATAAGACACTATGAAACGAAATCATTTCCAAAAGTGTAGAGAAGGAAAGGCATAAGAAAGACGTAACCAAATTTTTCTCAGAATGTAATAATAATTTGTCGAGACACATTGGACAGTAGCTGCAACAAAATAAGCCTCCAATTAAACACCAACATATAAGGTCTAACCATAACAATTGAAATTGAAATCAGGGGGAAATCAGATCTCAAAATCGAAAATGAACCATTCAGGAATAAATAAACCTCTTACGTGGAATCACTTCCTTTTACTCACACCAACCCACGGAAAGAAAAGCCACAATCTCTTCACCTATATCAAAAAACGCAGTATGAAATAGTGTCAAAAGACTTTTAGAAGAAAAGGAACAAGGACAGACTGTTCGTGAAACTCTAGACAACTATAGAGACTCCTAACAAGCTGCAACAAAATAAGCCACATACTAAGCTCCAAGATACCAAGCGTCAAACCAAAACAAATTGAATAGCTAAAAAGGATAATTTTAATTAAGGGGCATACATTCTAGTTGAGACACTACGGACTGCAGAATAATTTCCAAGAATGCATAGAAGAAAAAGGATAAGCAGGAAGATGTAACCAATTTTTTTGTAAAAATCTAGGCCGCTTATCACCACAGATTATTCACCAACTGGAACAAAATAAACCTCAAATTAAACACCACAATACCAAAAGTCAAACCAAAACAACCGAAATTATAAAAAAGAAAAAGTTCAATCTAAAAGGAGCTGTAGGGGAAAATATTTCAACCAAAGGTTGGGTGCCCAGCAAACTTATTAAGGCTGTTAGCTGGCCGCAAAAACAAGCCACAAATTGAACACCAAGATATCAAAAGTCAAACCAAAACAACTGAAATTGAGGGAAACAAAATGAAAAAAGAAACTTGGCATCTAAAAGGAGCTGTTGGGGAATTAATAAACCTTCAATGCAATCAGTTACTTTCACCTAAAAGAACACAGGAAATGAAAAGCCATGCTCTTTTTACCTAAGACAAAAAACTCCAAGTACAATTAAGGAGGAAGATGTAACCAATTTTTTTGTGAAAATCAAGGCACTTATAAATACATGTTAACCAAGGAAAGAAAACAATATGCTGTTGATGAATAAATAGCCCTTCTAAGTGGCATCAATTCCTTTCCACAAAAGAACCAGGCAAAAGAAAAGAGATGCTCATCTCATCTCACCTGTCATAAAATCTGCAATTAAGCCGTACTTCTGGATGAGACACCATGAAGCTCAGTAATTTTCAAAAATATGCAGAGTTAAAAAATCATAAGCAGGAGATGGAACCAATTTTTTTTTTTTTGGTGCAACTCTAGGAACCAGCTAGAATAAAATAATTCGCCAATTAATCACCTCAACTTCAAAAGTCAAACAAAACAATTGAACTTGAAATTAGGGGGGAAATCAGATGTCAAAATCAAAAAGGAACCATCGGGGAAAGAATAAACCTCCTAAGTGGAATCACTTTCTTTCACCCAAACGAACACAGGGAAAGGAAAGCCATGCTCTTTTCACTTATGTCAAAAAGCCTCCACTTAAAGGCAATACATTTTCAATGAAACACTATGAAAGAAATAATAACTTCAAAAAATATATAGCAGAAAAGGCATAAGTAGAAAGATTGAACCAAATATTTTCATGAAACTTCCGAGCAACTTATCAAGACCCATTGTAAACAGCTGCAACAAAAAAAAAAATCAACAAATTAAAGACCTAGATACTAATAGTCAAACCAATACAATTGAAAACGGGAAAAAATTCTGCAATGAATGACACTTCTTGGTGGAATCACATCCACTGAACCAAAAGAACCCAGCGAAAAAGTGGTGGTCTTTTCACCAAAGTATTAAAAATAAAAAATTTAAAGGCTATACATTTTGGCGAAGACATCATGATATGTATATTCATATTCAAAAG